GCCGTTTTATTGCTCTATCTCAAATCCATAACTATCAAATCATTGCTTCTGTTAGGGAGTTAGGAAGGGAAGGAAGCTTATGAATTTGCCTTCAACAGACTGCTGGGTTTGAGCTTACTATTTCTTTCGTATATTGCATACAGAAGCGAAAATGGAGTATGTTGAATCAATAGATAGTGTTGATGCGAGGATTTTCAGGTGTGGAATCGCCAAGACTTAAGTTGCGAGCGGGTATTGTCAGGGCATACGGGTTCCGTGTTGTGCCTTCAGTATGACGAGAGAGTAATCATTTCGGGTGGGTTTTCGTTTCGTTCTACTAGTGATGATATCGCAAAGCAGTGGCTCATCAGTTTTAGGTTCATCTGATGCGACAGTCCGTGTATGGGATGTTGCTACAGGAGAATGTTTGAATACTTTGATTCATCACTGTGAAGCGGTCTTGCATCTGCGTTTCAATGATGGAATTATGGTCACATGGTACATTTGCCAATTAATAGCAACAAAATTATTTTCATATTAGATGCGATTATTCTTTTGAAGTTCCAAAGATCGTTCGATCGCTGTTTGGGACATGGTGTCACCACGTGAAATCAATCTTCGACGGGTTTTGGTAGGGCATCGTGCGGCTGTAAACGTCGTCGATTTTGATGACCGCTATATTGTCAGTGCCTCCGGAGATAGAACGATAAAGGTTTAGTAATAGTATTCCACTTCCTCCTACTCTTTATCTCTTTTGCATTACCAGTTTAAGCCAGCCTCTCCTAAAGATGAGCTGCATTAATGTTTGATCGAATTGCGAATATGATCAGTGGTTTTTGTTGTCATAAGCTTGCTATTTCAACTAATATATAAGGGAGGAGCCATAATGCAGCTACTGCATTCATGCTTAATATGCCATTGCACTCCTAAGGCATTCATTTCTATCTCCGTGCCAGGTATTTTAAATGGTAAAATTCATATCTGTGATGTTCCATGCCTGGGTTACATCTTTTCTAGAAATCCGTACGCTGCATTTTTTAAGTACGTTTTTTTTCTGTAGAAGAAGTTGGTGGTATAATTTCCCACATTCAGAATCTGTAATTAACGTTCTGTTCCACTACAGGATACCGACATAAATCTTCCTGTGTATGAATTCTTCGAAATGGAAATTCTGTTGCAGATCATTGTTAAAATCTTGTGTAGTTTACTAGTTGCAGACATGTTCTATAAAATATAATAAAGCAGTTATGTTTAGGTATGGTCTGCTGACAGCTTGGAGTTTGTTCGCACTCTCTCGGGTCATAAACGCGGGATTGCTTGTTTGCAGTACCGAGGACGTCTTGTCGTATCTGGATCTAGCGATAACTCTATAAGGTAATTGCAGTTAATTGAATGATGTGTACTATAAGTGAAATCCTGCAGGCTCTGGGATATCCATTCTGGTGTATGCCTACGTGTTCTTGAAGGCCACGAAGAACTTGTACGGTGCATTCGATTTGATGATAAGCGAATTGTTTCTGGAGCGTATGATGGGTAGGAAAACCCTTGTTTTTGATTTATCATTCATTCAACCTGCCAACCGAAATCTTTAGCAAAATTCGTGTCTGGGATTTGGAAGCTGCTCTTGATCCACGATCGTCTCCTAGTTCCCTGTGTCTTAGTACTTTGGTGGTGAGTATTTGAGACTGATGCTTGCAGAATA